TCCCCCCCCCCCCCGTCTCAGGACTGAGCTTATACACCGCCTTTCTTCGTCTTCGAGTCGCACCGCTACCGCCAAGTCATTCAGGCGCTCCCGAACACCATGAGCCTCTCCGACTCCTGCACCGAGAAGAACTTTACCCATAGGAGGTCTGGCTTCTTAGCAGACTCTCCAATCTCGATCGCTTCCTTGGCAGCCAGTCCTGTTAGTTCTTGTGATACTTTGTCGGTTCAAGGAGCGGAAGAGCTCGACGCCAACCCTGGTCTGGATCCCAATTCCAGCGTTACAACCCCCAGCAGTTCATCTTCGCATGTTGCGGGAGGCACAGCCCTAATCCCTTCTGCTGATAACGGAGACCGCATTCGAGCGCTCATGGCCAAATACGAGCAGGTAATGAGCGGCGACGCTGCTCAGACTCAGGATGTCAGCTCCGACATTCTAGCCAATCAAGGTAGTCAAGATCTAGATGCTATGCAACCGGCTACGGGCTGGCTAACCCAGCTTTCTAGGGAGACACAGTGCGAGTCTTCCCGATTCCGACGGACACGGCAACCGAATCGATGAAAAGCCCACGAAAACGGACGCACCGCATAGGAACCCCACGTCGCGGGGTTCTCGACATGAGAAAAAGGGTCGCTCTAGAGCGCGAAGGCGCGTGCAGAAGGGCGCGTTAGTGAGCCGCCGCCAGGCCTACGCCTTTGAGCGTCTGGGAGGGGCACGACAGGCGACGGGTGGCATTATCGAGTGTCAAGTTTATTGGGAGCCCACCTGGCTGCCAATCGAGCACCTGCAAGGAAATGACGCTATTCAGGAAGCGAAAGACTTGGTTGTCGCTTTATTTGGCTCAGATACGTGGCACAAGGAGGCAGGAAAGCTAGGGTTGATCTACGAGCATGACCGAGAGTAAATGGCAGTAAATAGCACATTGCTGTGTACCTAATTTATAATTGACTACCATTTCGCGCTGCACCAATTCAGCTCCAAAAAATTCGTCTTAGCCACGATAACATCTTCTTTATCGCATGGGGTCCTTCCCCGGCGTGAACGTGTCCAAGCCTATTGTACAGATTGTACAGAACGTCTCAGCACACCAGGCACACCCCGCTTCGTGCTGTTATAGTTAAACTCATCCCCCTTCCGTTTCCTTCCCGCCTTAGAAAGTTTAGACAATCGCTTGTGTTTAGGTGGTGGTAGGAGTGTTGCCTGATCGAAATCGATCACCATCACGCGGCATCGCTCAGTGTTCCAGAGCAGGTTGGGCTCACGTTCGTCTTGGTGGTTCACACCTTTCTCATATATCGTTTGTATGGATCGCTGCACCTCCCATTCCCGATTTGACAGCGTCGTATCCATGGCCACCCCAGCCCATGACATCAACATCATATGGATCACGTACGCACCGCCAGGCAAGAGGTAGCCAGGACGGAACGAGACCATGCCCAGGTGCACAGGCACCACGTCGCCCTGAAGCTTTTCAAGTCGCTGATAGATACTGCACTCGTGCTCCAGGCGCGTCGGATGTGCGGACACGGTGCCCTTGCCGACAAAAGTGTAGCCGAAGCGTGCCAGTTCTAACTTGAACAGCACTCCACTAGAACCATATTTGCGCCGGCCGATGAGGGCATCACAGCTCCCGTACGGGTCCTGACGCAGCTGCTCGCTCATGAGTTTAGTGAACTCCTGAGCGTCGATCGGGTGGCGTGTGTTGCAGCCAACACCGTGATAGAGCACATTAGGGCACCTGCTATCTAGTTCACGACCCAGCTTGAGGCCAAGAAGGCAGGCTTGCGTGCAGTATTGTTTCGTAGGCGCCGGGGCAGAGCCTTCGGAGCCTTTGTCTTTGCTCTTCCTACTGGAGTCCTTCTCTCCCTTGTTGACGCTGGCTCCTGCTCCGCGCTGGCGTTGATAGCCCTCTGCTCCGCCTTCTTCGTCCTCATCGCGCGACTCGAGAGGCGCCGTAGAATCCTTGCACGATGACTTCGATCGCAAAGGGTATTTTCGAGCCACCGGGGATTCATCACAAGCAAAGGATTTATCTGTGCCGCGCGAGGGCATAGATGAAGATGAATCTGTGTCATCTGACTCCTGCGGAGTAACCGGGTCCGTGTAAGCTTCCCTTTTCCATTTTTTCAACATGCCCTCGGCCTGGTCCATTGCCTCCTTGAGCGGACGGCCCTTAAGCGCCTGAGAGCGAAGGCTCAACAGACAAAAGCTGGCAAGCTGAGCAACCGCAGTATGAGACACTTGTTCGACATGTAGCTCAGCTGTTGGTCGAATCACCATTTTGTCTGGCACGCAAAGGTGCCAGCGCAAAACAAGTGGCTCTGCTCGGGCGTAATAAAGAAGCACCAAAGATTTTCCAGCGGCGACATAGCCATACCCGACCCCATACCACAACATATAATTGAAGACTTGTATCAGTGCCATGGCAATCCGCGCTGCTTCTCGCTCTTTCGTTCGAAGCGTCGAGTCTTTTTTGTACTGGTCGGTCTGCGCCCACTCGTAGACATCCGTGAACAGCGTCTGACTTTCAAGAACGGCCTGGAGATCCTCCACGGCAAACTTGTGCGCAGCCTTGTAATCATACATGAAAGCTGGGCTCTCGTTTCCGTCTATGCCTGTTCGGATGCCACCTCCGTCAGGTTGCTGCTTTCCCCTCCCCGTTTTTGTTTCAGCTCCAATATCTTCGTTGAGGTCCTTAAAGTTGCGAATGCCATTTATAAACGTGAGATCTGTGATTTGGTACTTCTGGCGCAGCTCCCTGTCAGCCCAAACGGGCTCCAGAATCATCCACGTAGGGTCTTCGACTGCTGTTTTTTCGAAATGGTCGATAGCATTCTCATAACCGGCTTTTTTCCGCTCGAAATTGATTCCGTTATCTCTTGTTGTGCTCTCTTGTTGAAAAAGTCGCCTCTCGCCGCAGGTGCGGATGACATCGTCGAAGTGTTCGTGTCGCTGGCTGTCGGTAAAGGCATGCCAAGGGCGAAGCCACCTGGGATAGTATTTACCGTCGACCGATGTCGCCAAGCCAGTAGAGCTCTCCGATGGGCCAGCGAGCCTGAGTTTTTGGTACAGGTCGAAGTGACAGTTGTACAAGTACTCCGCTAGAGTCGTCTTTCTGTTTTTGCGTCGCTCTGTTTCCTTCTCACGTCGCTCGTTCTCTTCTCGCGCCTTTGCTTCTTGCTCTCGCGCCTTTGCTTCTTGCTCTCGCGCCTTTGCTCCTTTCTCTCGTGCCTTTGCTTCTTCCTTTTCGCGTCGTTCGTTCTCCTCTCGTGCCTTTGCTACCTCCTCCCGTGCCTTGGATTGCTGCAACTGCCTTTCGAGCTCCTGAATTCTTCTTTCAGACATTGTGATTATTAGTATGGGCAGGATCAGAAGACCGCTTGGCAAATGGATGAAGTGATGATGGATGATGGATGGCGTTGATGAGGTAGGGTTGTAGGCCATTTGGGTTCTCCACTGGAACGGTAACTAGGCTGCGGGTCCACTGTTGTTGTGCCTGAGGCAGTTTCATTACGGGCCTACACAGGTACCCGTGTCCTATTGTGCTGCGCTCCTTCGCTGGGCTGCCTAAGCACTCGGCTGGTTTAGCCAAGTTGCTTCAGCCCAGCTGCCAAGTATAGCCTTGCCTGCGTCCTAAAGTAACCCAAAGCACACTCGAATATCTCTACAACAGCATCTTTCCCCCGTCTTTGATATTGATATTCACCTTGAAAAGCTATGTCCGCGCCACATTTTCAGCAAAGAACCTCCCTTTCGCGCGTCTTTCTGTCGTTTTGATAAGGCTTTTCTCGACGATCTAAAAGAGTGGACACATTTATACGACCCTGCTGGAATCATCCTTAGCTTCGAAGACCCAGATGCACTCTTCAAACAACCCGGCTGCCTCATTGAACGTGAGGCTCCAATATTCACATTGCTGCCCAACGGATTGCGCGGGGTGATTGTCGTGGGAATCACGAAGAGGTCGCTGTCAGCGGCCTTGGCCTGCTACCAAGCCTCGCTTTGCTGGTAACGAGATCGCAAGGGGAGATGCATGAAGCATCACGTCGTTATCCCCTAGTAGTTATCATCTCCTGCCTTTGGAATGTCGCAGAATGCGCAGATATAGCGAGTCGGTCATGTTGGACTGTCCGAAAGAACCTTCGGTTTCGTCGTACTGTAGGTAGTATAAGAGCTGTTGTGAAGACGGTCCTGTTACTCACTGGTCGCCACCTGCAAAGGCTTCACCTGCTTACGGGCCTTGCGGGCCTAGGCAGAACCTTCAGAGCGATTTGGGTATCCCCACTTACGCTACTTAGTCAGCCGATTTGCTAAACCGCTGTCCTTGCGGGGTAGCCCAGTTTTCATCATTCACCGCTTCCAACTACACGATGGAGAGATATTCAACTGCATGCGACGTCTGTTCACAGGCCTTACAGGACACCGATGTCCTCAACCATATCTTATTACACATGGTCAGAGAACTTACTACGGGTACCGAATTTAATTAATGATATCTTTCCAGTCACAAATCTCAAAGCTGTGCAATTCTCTGCCCGCCCATAGTCGTACAGCGAACGAACTTTTCCAGCAATACGGCCCTGTTGTCACAGATACCGGCGGTCACTTCGACACTATAACCCGGGTGTTTTCGAGCGACCGCGATCGGCCACCAACTCCCTCTAAAAAGAAATTCAGATGCCCCGCTTGCGACCACGCGCCGTTCAGCCGGAGGCAAGAGCAAATCCGTCATTTTGCACGACGTACGTCTCGTCGCCCCGAAATTGCGTAGCGACAGTACTAATAAACAGCTAGATTACAAGCTTGAGAAAACCTGTGAAGGTTGTTCCCTTACTTTCCATATTGCTAGCAAGTTTATTTGGCATCGATGTCAACCGGACGCAGTTGAACAGCAGAAGGCTTACAAACGGCGATGGCAAACCTTGCGCAAGGACGTTGGAAAAGCACTTGACCGAGCCAGCAGAAATGACTTTGGTGGGGATAAAGCACAGCCGCAACAAATAAGACAAAGGAGTGGGAACAACAAACATGACCCACATGATTGTTCAATCCTTGAAGCGGCACAGGACGCCTCTCTTCTGCCATCACAGATGAGCACCCTCGAGACCGAAGCATGTCCAAGCAGCACTACTTCACAGCTCGTACCAGCGACGATTTTCCCGCAGACAAGGGGTACAAACCTGTCCAATGGTCAACGAGGACTGGGTGCAGGGGTTGCGGAATCCCAGCAAGCCGAGGATCACTTCTCGACATGGTTCACCGCACCTTCTAATGCGCCTATAATTTGGGACAATTGGAATTGGCCAAATGCATGAGTGTCCGGAAATCACGATCAAGCTACACTTTCCAGATAATCCGCCATGCCATCCCCCGTCTCTATCAACTGTACTTTTATGCCGCACCTTTGAATACATAGCCTCGTTCCGGCAAACCGTACCCGATAGCCCGACCATTGCTTGATCCAAATGCAAATCTCGGGTGTATGATCATCCTGCCTCGTGTTAGCCGATGCGATGTAGATTCACAGGCAAGCAAACTTACACGCCACCTTGTTCCATTCGCAGTTCGAGCTCTTTCAACTTCTTGAACTCCGTCAAAAATACATAAGGGACTTCATACATGCCATTTGCTCCTCTTACCCCTGCTGCTGGTAGATGCTGGGAGCGATCGAATATTTGCAACTGTGACCCAGCGCTACAAACATATAAAGCTATTTTGTGGTCTTCGTCCTCGCTCTCCAATATTGTAGAAGCGAAATAATGTTTCGGATAGTTGCTACCAAAAATCCAGCAAGCAGGGCGGCATTCGGTGTTGAACTGATCTAGTATTTTGCGGATGCGCTGGGCAAATGTAAATAAGAGGCACATGTCTCGGAAGGCATAGCGCTTACTAGGTCGCTCTGTA